GAACACGTTCTCAACGAAACCAAAAGAAACGGCAAACTGGAGTATTCGACAGGAGTAAAGCATCCTGCCAACGAACCGTTTCATGTAGATCACAAGTTCACTTCCGTATGAATCAAGATCAACTACCACGATGCATTGATCTAACACACTACTAGTTTAAGGGTGGTCCTGAGCCATGAAAAAAATACATCCATTTCGCTATAGTAAAACAGTACACAGTTCCTTTTCTGGCTGTAAAATAGTCCACAACTTCTGTTAACTCCAATAAGAATGGATCAACACCAGTGCAATTAATTCCAAATTTAATGTGCTTTATTGTTTGTATTTGCTGTGACAGCTCAAACATAAGAGACAAGCATATACTTTAATAAAAGAGGTTGATTTTGGTCACATTTTGGCCTTCTTGGATGTTCTCATTCGACTATAGTGTTAAGTCTATTGAGTACTGTTTACACTTGTAAATCCAAAGTGGGTATTGAGCCATTTGCTGCGTAGGATTTTGTACCAGGGCTACTGGTAAAGCTCAAAACCACTGCTAAATTAGTACAAGCTAGCTTTACTGATCGCATCAAGCAAAGCTCACAACACAAGATTATGAATTACTAAGAAGCGAACTTTGCAGTTTACCTTGCACTCGTCTTGAATAGCGCAGTTGATATTGTTGGGTGGTAGCTACCTCTACGAGATCCCTCTATTCAAGTAGTATTTCCTCACGTTAGCAGATTAACTAGTCGCAGTTACGCACTGCCACATCTCCATCAAGATGTCCTATTCGTATAGTAAAAGAGTACAAAAGAGTGACTGCACATCTTGGTAGATTTGTACAGTACTTTATATAGTAAATTAGTCTAACGGGTGCAAAGGCGTGCTTATGCAGGATTCGCATTTGGCAGCTTATATCTTTATTTACTCAGTAAGAATAGGACATTCAATTCCTGCACAGGCATTAGCAAGGGCGCCCTCATAGATATAAGCCATAATTTCGACACATGCTGAAAGCGTTACAGTTCCTCCCACAACTCAGAGTATCCGTGAATAGATTGAGTCATGCTTCATGAGTTAACATGATGGAACAGAGAACGCTGGCAAGAACACGTTCTCAACGAAACCAAAAGAAACGGCAAACTGGAGTATTCGACAGGAGTAAAGCATCCTGCCAACGAACCGTTTCATGTAGATCACAAGTTCACTTCCGTATGAATCAAGATCAACTACCACGATGCATTGATCTAACACACTACAAGCTAGCTTTACTGATCGCATCAAGCAAAGCTCACAACACAAGATTATGAATTACTAAGAAGCGAACTTTGCAGTTTACCTTGCACTCGTCTTGAATAGCGCAGTTGATATTATTGGGTGGTAGCTACCTCTACAAGATCCCTCTATTCAAGTAGTATTTCCTCACGTTAGCAGATTAACTAGTCGCAGTTACGCACTGCCACATCTCCATCAAGATGTCCGACGAAGCAACCAAACTCAAGCATGTGCTATGCAACCTATGCGGCGAAGAAGCTTCCACCACAGGGTATCTTGCATCCCACCTGCGTCTCGCATTGGCTGGTCAAGGAATCGATGGATGGATGGATGGATCTCCTATACTCCTCACCAAAGATGAAGTTATGAACCTCCAAGCTCCCAACGATACCAACGGCGCTCCACGACTCGTATCTCTCACCAGGAAGAAGCTACTGCTCGCGGCGATACAGATGTACCACCATTGGTCATTCAAGAGGAAGTCTCCGATACGCATCACTTCGCTGACGGCCACCGCACTCGATGCTTTCAGAGTTGGACTCTTTCAACCCCACTGTGAAATCATCCCGTGGCAGCAAATGAGACGTAGCGACGCCACGATGACCTATGGCGAGCGTGCAATCACGCTATGGGACAAGAACAACAAGCCCGTTCGGTCGGAGTTCAGAGACTTTCGCGGCGAATCCTCTTTCATCAAATGGAAGAAGAACTTCCTCAACACGCTCAAATCTCAAGGTCTCTCCCACCTCATTGACTCAGACTTCACGGTCACCAACGTCGAACTAGACGAGAAACAACGAAAATGGATGTACAAGACCTTTGAGGATATCTTCATTGAGGCACAGGCACGATCTGTCGTTCTTGCCAATGAAACCGACAAGGACACCCGTATGATCTGGAAAGCAATCGACGAGTATTACTCCAAGTCTATGGTCGCAACCCTACACTCAGACAAGATCTCGTCTTATCTTACCTCTGCCGAACTTACAGACGGTGTATGGCGAGGATCCCAAGCAGGTTTCATCTCCAATTTCCTCGAGCAGTATCGGCAGTACAATGAAATAAGTGATGAGCCGTACACTGAGGAACTAGAAGCACGTTTCTTGGAACGCTCAATCTTCAAGGCACCAAATCTCGCTCCCGTACAACGTCTCGCTTTGCAGACCAAGAAAAATGCAGGAGACACCACCAAGTATTCGCTCGAAGAGTACAGGGCAGCCCTTCTCGAGCAAGCACAACTGCATGACAGCGCAAATCATGCAACGTCTATACGCTCTCGTAGCAATGCTCGCCGCCATACCTACCAATACGAAATTATCTTCGACAATGGTACCGCGGAGACCTGTGACAATGCCTATGAGGCATTTGTCCATGACATGAATATGCCAGTGGAGGTCCTGTTGCAAGCTCATCAGACGGACACTCGTGGGCCACGAAAAGTCATGATGGCCACATGGCGGTCGCTATCCAAGTCGGATCAAGAGGCATGAGATAATATCTCGGAAGCAGGGAAGAAGAATGTCCTTGACTACACGGCTGACTTAGCTGTTCGACGTAGTCAGAACAACTCTGGACAATCACGTCCATCCCGCTCAGTCAACTCCCATGACTTCCTCGACGTGGGCAACTCCACGCCACGAACAAGCAATCTAGAAGTGTCCTCGCATCAAACCAATTCCAATACGACGGACACCGACCTATTGCAACTCACGTGCAACAAGACGCATTCAACGCCACCATCTTTCGCTGATGACATCGCCTATCACAGCTATCCAACATGGCTACACTCGAGGTACGAGTTCACAAGATTGATCGCTCATCTTACGAGTCATATTCCCACGAACTATTCTACGAACCAGAGATTGATCCTGATTGGCAGCCCTTCATGTATCTCTCTGATGAATCCGAAGGTAATCAAATACCACCAGTTGGTGCGACCATGCCAGTGGATCTCCTCGACATGCCCAATCAAGCAGACCCTTCGATGCCTGCACTCGACTCCGGAGAAACCTTTTTCTCACCTACCGCTCAGGACTTCTCACAGTTCGCTTACAGCGGTACCTACAAGTACGAGGAGAACGATGTGAGACTCCAACAGCAAATCCAAAATGATGACACAGGGTATCACACCTTCGTGCCACAGGTACTGTGCGATGAACCATTTGACTACTGGACACGCCAACGCATCTCCTCTGCCATGGAAGAACAACTGGAGCCACCGACACCACTTGTGAATGGACCACACATGTTGCCACCGTACCATCAGATTCAGCAGCCTGATGATACACTCTTGCACTGCCAGCGCCAGGCTGCCGAAGAGCATGAACAGCAACTCATGGACAATCTTCCCACAGAAGAGCCATCCATTGTGGAGGCACCTGCTGATGATCCCGAATCCCTAGCGTTTGATATTTCCCAGCTCCAGCTCGATCCACCCTCTGATGTTGGGGACGATGTTGACCCAGACCTCAGTTTTGCGACCCCGAACGAAACTGACATCAAGGAAGACATCTCCATGCATCACATCAAGGGCACACACGGAATTTGCAAGGCTGTCAAACAACGCCGAGTGCTCCAACAGACCCCTGCTGTGCTCGCACCCGCGGCCACGATGACAACCCCTGCTGCACTCGCACCCGCGGCAATGACGACAACCCCTGCTACACTGGCACCCGAGACAACGACGACAACTCCAGTCTCCGATGGGACTCCAGACTCTTCTGGGTTCGTCGCTGTCACCTCTTCCAAACCCCAAGGACGTATTGCCAACCATGCACTTCTTCTAGGATTTGGCCGATTGCTGTCTTCCCAGAGGAGGGAGGTGACTCCATCCAAAACACGCCGTCACTAGAAGACAGTAAACTGTTGACCAGTTTTTTTTAGGGAGCGCTGTCCTTTTTCGGACACCATTTCCATTGGGCAAATCCAACCAAGTAGTAAAAGAGAGCCACACTGCCTTGGCCCTTTGTCTCCCAGCAAGAAGATTGATGGTTAGCGAAGGACGATTTGAATAAATCAACATAAAAACGAACCAAAAAACGCTTCTCACCTTTGGCCGAATGAGGGGCGACCACAATCACCTCTTGCTTCTGATTGAGGAGAGCAAGTTGCTCGTCCTCCAATTGTTTTGTGCCATGAACGACCGGTACTTTAGTTCCAGGAGGGTCTACCTCAAGTTGATTAGGGGGGCCGACAAGCTCATTTCTTTTGTGGATGTTTTCCCTCAGCTCAATGATGTCCTTCTCTTCTTTCAGCACAACACGGTCCGCAGGTCCTGTCGGGGAATCGAATCACCAATCCAGAGAAGATAACGGATCTTGGACAGGTTAGTATTGGCGTTGGCTGTCATGTCTATCAAGGTTGTTGTTGTTGTTGTTGTTGTTGTTGTTGTTGTCAATGTGCACAAACACAAGAAGAGGCTGGCTCCCGTGGGAGTCACCCCTCAGGGTGTGATCAACCATAACGTATCCTTAACCCTTTCTGCTTGACAGCCGAATTTCTGCTCACTTTCCGAGAGATCTAAAGGCTTGTGGCGACGCAACGGTACCAGTACGGCAGTGCATGCTTATTGCCAGTGCAGTGATCGATGTTCTGACTGCATCAAACTCTGGACCATCCATCTACTACTACAGCAGCTACTATAGGCTGGACTGCTGTGCTTGTTGATTTATTTATATAGTTATCCATTCAACTACAGTACCATGTTATCTCCAGCACTGCTAATTTTCTGTTCCCTGCCAACCATGGCGGCATTCTCGACGGGACCAGTTTCGGCTACCCATGATACCCCCCATTATTACGTTCCTTCACCAAGAAGTCGGTCATTGGTTCCATTATCTTCTTCTTCTCAAGATTCTTCCTTTGACATGTCCGAATTATCGAGGCGAATAGAAGGATTGCAGACGGCCGAAAACGTTTTGGCGAATGACAGCGATGGCATCATTAGTTTGCCCGTTATTGCCTTTGATGCTCTGCTCCCCAATCAACGCATGAAGGGACGAACCACCGATCGGACGTTTGGTCGGTTATTGGCCGGTCTGGGTCTCGGAGGATTATTCTGTATGGTTAGTGTCAATCATGCCCATCGCAAGGTGCGACGCAATGGCGTCATTTGTCGCATTGAACTCTGCGATGCTCCTGCCAGTGGAAATTCAGCCAATGGTCGAGCCATGACGGCCGTCGATTTCCAATTGGTGGGGTTGCGACGGTGTCGATTGGTGGGACCACCGACGGGTATGAAGGCACGCATTGGACGATGGAGACGCATGTATTGTCCGGATGGAGAAGGAAGCAAATTGGGATTTGGTGACGAACGCTTTGTCGATGTTTATGATCACATGGCATCCCAACTAGACGACGACAATAAACTGGTTGCAGCCGAAGACGCCACGGGACTTCCTTCCAAGAGATGGACCCAAGTTCCAGTCGATTGTGATGTGGATAAGGGTGATAAGATCGCACAAAATGAAGACCCAGAGAAAGAACAAGTAGTGGAAAGGGCACATGCCGTTATCGCCCTATTGGATAAATGGGAAAAACTGGCCTCAGATGTCAAAACTTACGAAAACACAGATGTGGTAGCAGGAAGTCGTGTCATGAAAGGACAACCGGGGTTGCGTGTGGATCCAGCAGCCTTGTTGAGAGTTGTACGCAAGGATATTGGGCCTCGACCCTCACCCGAAGACCCAACATCGTTGGCCCTTTGGGGAGCCTCACTCATCAATCCACTACCATCGTTAGGGGTGGCACCCGAAATTCGTGGAAAGCTCTTGGAATCACCCAGCGCCATGGACAAACTAGATGTACTGGAAGCCGGTTTGAAGCGTTCCATTGGCAATTTGGAAGGAAATTTGCCGTTATTTTGAGGCAAGCATCAAGGGATCGGCAGAAGCGCTTGGAAACAGCTCGTTGCTGCTTCCATTGAGTCCAACCCAATCGAATATGTACAAATACGGCCCGCATTTTGCGAGAGCTTGGGCCTTTCAATCGACAATACTACGTACACCCCAAACGAGCGAGAAAGAGAACAATTTTGAAATAGGTCAACGCTGTTGTAAAAGACGCTTTAGATTGGATTCTGTGAAGAATGAATAGAAGCCCTATGGAGAAAAACTAGTTGCATGAAGACTAACGCTTCAGTAGGTCTCCAGGGCAAGCTGTCATTTCTCTTAGGCAAGGGATGGGCTCGATTGCTCTAGAAGCTTATTTCTGATTGACTTGGTTTGCACAGCAATCGAACCATGACATGCGCTTCCAAAACTGATTCAAATGAAAACTGTTGCAGCTGCTGGCTAGCTAACTAGCTGATAAACTAACTAGCTTCTCTCCATGGTCTCCTTCCGAGGTTGAATGGTTTCCCACTTACTGGGTGTCGATGTGGTGTCATCGTCGCCATCGTGGACTGAAGAATGCGTCGACAACGTGTCATTCTCGGAGCCCTTTCGCTGCCGAGCGGGCTCGAGCGGAATGGTCTCCACTGGAGGGTGGCACTCAATGCGTAACACGGGTCTGTCTCTGCTAGGGTTCAGTTCCCTCTTGCCCGTGCGAAGTGCTTCCAGGCAATTGTCAAGGGTGTCTGCTATCCGATAGTGCGTCTTGATCATAGCAGTGTGCTCGTATGCAGTAATAGATCCTCCTTGGTACACTCGGTACAAGTCATTGAGATTCAAGTCGCTGAAAAGCTGTCGATTGTAAAATTAATCGTAGCGGTACAAAGCAGTGAGTAAACCACTTCAGCCAGTCGAATCACGAAAAAGCATAGTCGCGCTTACCTTTGGATAGTCAATTATGGAGACCTGAGGAACCAGGGTTGTGCTACCGTGAAACTCTTGTGTCAAGAGAGTCGATGTGAAGCCAACAGCGGCCTCCATATCATGCAAGAACCGCATCTTGGCTTTCATATCGTTCTTCAGATACATTTCCAGTGTAGCGAGCAGAAATCCACCTCTCCAACTGTGCTCGTGCGCACCGCTGGACCAACGACACGGTCTGCCCACGCCTCCTTTGGGGTTAAAGAAGAAAGGGACAATGTGCGGGTTCACTTGTGCAGCAATGAAGAACTGACAGTTGAGCATCTCTGCTAGACCATTGACGGGGATATCGCTATCAATGGAGCCATCAAAGTAGGTTTGATCTCGGGGATTCTCGCGGACTGATCCGTCTGGCATCTTGTACTGTAGTTTCATGGCAGGAATAAAACCTGGAACAGCCGCGCTGGCAACAACGGCCGAGGCCAAGGTGACGTTTGGCACAGTCAAGTGATTGAGCAAGACAGGAGGAGCCTTCTTGGTTGTTGCTGATACCGTAACACAAAAAATGCGACCGGTTTTGCGGTAGGCTTCCTCGAACGTCATGTCGCCCATCGTGAACCTGTCCAAGCGAAAACAATGTAAGCATCCGTTCAATGAATGATGCAGAGAGTTCAGACAGTATCTACAACGCTAACTTACCACCTGATCAAATCAAGCCATTCTTGTTGTGAAAACAGATTTCCATTCTCTGACAAGCTCTTCATGCGGTCTGGCCACGACCTGGAAAAGCAGGTCAATCGTTTCACAATGACTTCCGGCTTCATATCTTGTAACAGCTCTTCGTCAGTTCGAGTACAGATGACTGATGGAAGCGAACAAGCAAGGAAATGATAACAAAATGAGATGACACTGATGTTGGATAACGAACTTCCCAGAACAAAAAAGGATGCTCCAACTAACTTACTCGCTGCAATGACAGCTCCGGCACTGGTACCACTGATAATATTGGGCAACACCCCGGCCTCCAGCAAACCTCGAATATGTCCAAAGTGATAGGCTCCCATAGTCGAGCCACCACTCAAACAGAGTGCTGTTCGTCCATACGCAGCGCGCGCTCGCTTAAAGATATCCGCGACTTGCTTTCTATGAAAGGATGGCAATGTTGTCTTGTTCTTTTTCTTTTTGAGAGTTGGCGGCGGTTGTTGTTGTTGCTGTCCCTCTGCCAAGGACTCCAAGGAGGACACTGAATCGCCAGTAGATTGCTGCTTGAACGACGAGGAGGAGTTGGATCGCTTTGCCGTGTCAAAGTCATTACCACTGCCAAAGTTGTCCAATGCGTTGGTAGCAAAGCCAATGAGTGATCTCCAAATCTTGTCCTTTTCATGGCGCATTTTGAGATCGAGTGACTCTTCGTAATCCCGAATGGTGGCGCTATTTTCCTCCCCGTCATCGTCTGGATCATCGGGAAGTTTGAGTGCTTCATCGGTGACCCATTCCATGGTTTTGGCCACCTCTTGGATAAAGTCTCGCACAATGTGCATGGGTTCTCCCGTGTTGGTGTAGCAAAACAAATCTTCACTCATGATACCTCCTACATTCTTTCTAGTACATTGTTGCAAGACGGCCAATGCCTGTAGTGAGTCTCCCGCTTCTCGTGCATGTTTCATGTCCTTCATCAGGTTGACAATGAAAGACCAATTGTATCGTTTGGAAGCGGCCGTGTTGGCATCCAACTGTGCTTGCCACTTGTCTCGCTTTTGGGACTTGTCGAGCTGCGAGGCTAGTTCGTACCATTCCTGATAACTTTTGGCCTTTGCCATTCGCTTGCGGAGGGCCCGATGTTTGGGTTTGGCGACGAGGCATTCGGCCAATCGAATCCCCAATCGAATGACGACATAGACACAGAGCTCGACTGCAATCAAAAAGTAGGTCAATGCCAGTACGGGCCAACGCAGGATACGTGCCGAGATGCCATGCATCTTTCCTGGAATGATACTCAAGACACAGAGAGTCATGAGTATCCCTCCAAAGGCTCTCCAGAGGAACAATCCCACTTTCCAGTCCATGAGTGGCCATTCGCGTGATACCCATTGGGTCCAAGAACTGGGCGTGGTGACACTGGCATGCCATCGTTCCATGAATTCCGTCATGTTGAGAAGTTCGGAGCGTTCGATATGTCCATCTCCATTGGAGTCGAAGTGTTTGAGTAGAAAGTCTTCCACGGCATTGGGGTTAATGCCACTGGCATGACTCTGCATGGTTTGTTCCCACAGTTGTTGCAGTCCAAATGGCGTCGAAGGCCATTCGGTGTCTTCCATCGATTCCAATATACCCTTGGGTAACAGGAACTCTAGAAACTTGGAACCGCCCAGCAAGAGATAATCCTTGGAATCACGGACGACCCGACCGGCAAGTATCGGTAGCGATGCCCAAATGGCAGGCAGGACATTTTCCCGATAAAAATCATACACAGACTCGGCTGTAATGTCTTCTTGGATCACAGTGGTGGCCTCTTCGTCCAGAACTTGTCGGGACTTTCTGGTTGGCTTTCCCATTGTTCTATTCTCCATGTAGTAGTCAGCTTTCTCGTTTCGTTTCAATTCGCTTTCGTTGAGAGGGATAATGAGGTAATTGCTACCACAACGATCCCGGATAATCTATCAAATCTTGGGCAATGCTACCCAGTCCAATCAATAGAATAGCTACAAGCAAAAACTCTTATGCTCTGTTCGCTTTGCCCCCACCAAACCAAGCAAGCAAAGCAAAAGCAGCGACTATTCACCAGCATTTTTGGATTGCTATTGCAAACCATCAGGAGCCATCACAAGCAAAGCAGTGACGCTTGTCCGTAACAGACCAAACTTGTATGGCCTCCCAGCTTGCAAAGAAAATGCCTGTCAAATGACGTGGGAGTCAAAGACAAGCATGTCACTATGAAAATTGTGTACTGCATTTTGAGAAAAAGAAGAGCGTCATCGATCCATCAGCTACCGGTACCAATGGGCATTAACAATAACGAGAAAGAGAATGTCTTTGGAGCGGGCAGAGCGTGATACTTACAATGATCCGTTAGCACTGTCTGCATGCAACTACAGTCAACGCTCGCTTATATTTATAATCTTGTATTTATTCGCTCTATAATATTTAAGAATACTCCAGTTCCCACATTTTTAACTCTAACCCTATTTTATTACTAGAGCACGTACAATTCTACGGGAATAGTTAGGGTTAGGGATAAAATCAATATTTATTCTCGCTGTTATATTTACTGAATTCCTGAATCCCCCCCAGTATATATATCTGAATGTTGACTGTAGCTTGATCTTGGTAAGGACACCGTCGGTCCCACGCTCCACGATCTTGATCGAACGCTTTTCTTTCATGACGGAATCGTACCGGTTTCCTTCTGTTGTGCATGGGTGGCCTCATGGATGAATCCCAAACAGCTATGTGCAGTCTCTTACCGATGACAAAGCAACCAAACAGCAAATGGTGGCAGGAGCGCAAATTTATCCTGGGCCATCCTTGCCGTTCGAAGCCTACTGCATGGTACCTTCCCGTACCGATACGGACCCGGTTTGACCCATCACATGTAGCCCTGCAAAACTACCTGATCTGGCTGGGACTGGCTGGCTAGTGTTTTAGTTAGACATGGAAACTTAGTAGAGGACCGTAATAATGCTGCTTCCCCTCCTACTACGGTACCGGCATGTTCTAGCCCATTTTGCAAACACCAGTTTTGTTGAGTAGTATTTTGTAGACAAGTAAAAAGTTTGATTGCCTTCAATCAATACGATACCATCAGGCCAATGTCTGGTCACCTTCGTCCCCTTTCTTGTCCAAGAGGTCCATGACCTTGCTTGTTGATGGAGGTGCAGAAATGGTACCAAACAGCTTGTCCTCTTCACGTCTAATCTTGGCTTCTTCTGGAGAAATGTCACTCCTCTCAGCACCTCCGCACATCAATCTATTAATAGTAGAAAGCATAGATAGGGCCAGGAAACCAAGGACGGTTAGGACACATACAATATCAAGCACTAGCAAGGCTCAGAATTTGCATCCACTTACTCCTCTAGTTCCAGTTCCAGTCGATATTCGAACGATGGCCCAAAGTATAACTGGGCAAACGGCTTTCCCTCTCCACTGGTTGCCGTTGAGTACAAGGAAACGGGATTGATGTCGTGCATTGCTTTATCAATGTCAGACTTTTCCAGTTGCTCACCATCGGCAAGCTCCATGAGGATAGTCCTTTCATCTACTTCCTCGTTGCTCAACCGGGCTTTGGACAAGTTTTTCAGAAAAATGGCCTAACACACACAACAGCGACAGTGCACAGATCAGTGAGAGGGCTTCATCATGGGAAGCACACAGAGGGAACGCATGTCTCAGTCACCTACCTTTTCCACAATACGACCAAAAAAGTCGTAACCAAGGAACGCCAATGCATTTGTGGTTTCATCATTGGGAGGTGGGAGGCCCTTATTCGGGTCAAATCCTACCCAATGGAGAAACCTGAGGCAACAGCACCAGCCAACATTTGTTAGTGAAGTAGAGGCAGTGGTACAGTAACACTCCTTTCTTTGTTGTTGTTGCGCGAATTTGTGTATGTACATACCTGGCCGAGTTTGCGGACATGTTGGACCATACTCCGTTTTCTTTTTTACCCTTGGTAGCCTTTCGTTGTGCCTCCCAATCCTTGTCCCCTTCTTCCTTCAAACGTCTTGGCAGGAAGGATCCCTTTCTGTGTTCCGAGAACTTCATGTACCATCCCTTGTCCATGAGGCTGGTTCGAACATCGAATTGGACCGCTCGTTCCAAGAGATGCCCTCCCGTCTCATCACTCTTGTTGTTGTTATTGTTATTGCTATTGGAAGTGGCAGACTCGGCAGTAGTAGTGTCTACTAGATCGGTTTCGTCTCCGTTTTTTTCGGCCTTTTCGGCAATGTCCTTGTCATCAGATTTGCTGGCATATTCATCACGCAGCTGATTCCATCGTGTATACGCTCTCATTTCTTCTGGATACATGGCCGACAACTGCTCAAAATCGAATCCGCATTTTGGCGCATAGGACAATTTGTCATATCCTTCAAACGCTCGATACAACATGTGTGCATCCGGGAGAGCGGCGGGAATGGGCCGTCGCGGATTATTATTGTCGTGTTTTGAATTGTTGTTGTCAGTGTCCTTATTATTGGCTTTGGAGTGTTTGGCCACATCGATTTGTGCTTTTTGAAATTGTTGTGTGGCTTTTCGACGGAGTGCTCTGGCATCTTGAATTGTGACTTGTAGCAATCGCCGTGCTCCCAACAATGCGACCAAAACAGCTTGTGGTTTTGGATCGGGACCATCGCCAAATGCCGTCATCATACTAGCACCTTGCTTGCCGAGTGGAATGTGTTCGTAGAGTTCATCCCGTTTCGCTCGTTCCAACTTTCGTTCCTTGACGGATTGATTGACTTCCTTTCGGGGTCGCCCTCTTTTGCGTTTTTTGGGTGCTTCCTCCTCCTCTTTGGTGTCATCTTGTGAGGGGCTAGTCGCCTTTTGGGGCACAGCTGCAGCAGCAGTAGAATTTTTTGTTTCATTGGACTGTTTCTTACTAGTGTCACCCTCATCCTCATCCTCATCTTCGTCGTAATCTTCCATGTCCAATTCAATTTTTGGCTCTATCTTTTTCAGCGGCGCTCGTTTCGGCGGTGCTGGATTTGTTTGTGATTGTTGTGATTGTGAACTATCCAATCCTGCCGCGGAGAGAATATTGGAGACGGCCGTTTCAATTTCTTCGTTGGTCGCATTGCCCCTCGTTCGGTCCGACAAGAGCTCCAACACTTTTTGCATCTGCACATCTACTTCGCTGCCTCGTGCAGGCGGCTTGGCACTGGCAGCCTTGGGCTTCTTCTTCTTATTGTTGGGTGCCATTGTCGACAACAACAGCAACGACACGAGCTTGTCTCTTCTTGTTGCTTTTTGTGTGTTGTGGTGTTGTCGTTTGTCATGTGGTCGTGTGGTGTGGCAAAATAGATTTAGCTCTAACCTTATTTTGAATCTTTTCAGGCGTTTTCTCCTTCCTTATTTTGGCGCGAAGCCAACTTGCTTGCGATGTGGTCGCAGTCATCATTGACACAATTTTCAACAATCGCAGGAAGAAACCCTTCATCTCAGAGCATAGCAATGGCAGCCCCAGAGGATAACAAAGACGCAGCAACTACCAGTAGTTCGGCTGATACTAATAAACGAAAGCCAAAGTATCCTAATGGGACCAAAGTGCGAAAGGTACGTGAGGAAAAAAGATGAAGGGAAGCCATTATTATTGGATTGCTGCGCCAATAACACTCAGATCAGATTTATTTTGTATTTTGGAACATACATGTAGCACTTTCCGGACTATGGATGGTTCCGAGGCAAGGTGGTAGATTGCCGTGGAGAACTCTATTGTATCGTATACGAAGATGGTGACGAAGAAGATCTGTCAGAGGCAGAGCTAGAGCAAGTTTTAGATATTGACAAATCTTTGAGACAGCAGCCTACCAATTCGCAACAACCGCAGGACCAACCATCTACTGCAGAGAGACTATGGCTGGATAAGTTTAGTCAGATCCTCAGTTTCAAAGAAAAACATGGACATGTGCAAATCCCAGCTTCGGGTCTTCATCGCGAATTGCAACTGTGGGTCCAAAATCAGCTCATGGCACACATCAACAGTGCGTTGACCCCGCAACAGCAAGCTTCCATGAGAGATATTGGATTGCTTCAAGAATTTCCACACGGGTCTGTCAAAGACAAAAAGAATTCAGCAACCGCTATTGCCAATGGCAGTTCCACCAAAAAAGTCCGTGACCCGTTGTGCAGAGTGGACGACCCTACACCATCTACAGCTCCTTCTGCCCAGATTTCCAGGACAGCCGTGGGAGTTGGAAATTATTCTGCCACTGCTGTCCACATGGCAACAACTCCACTTGCCACCGGTCAAAATACTGCCGCCCTTGCGGTTGTAGCCGCGGCAGAACACGTATCTCGAACAATGGCAGTGCCAGCAACAGAGACCGCCAAGACGACACGCACATCCGAGGTTGCTAGACACGTTCCTTCTGCAGCCACCAAACCAATAGACCAGTCTGCTTCTTCCCAGCAAGACAGACCTGAGCGTGTCGCTACGGAGGCGGTGCAAAAATGTCAGGTACGTTTTGCTATCAATCAATCATTGTCCTTTTATCCATCACCACGAGGCTGACAATGTCGTGGTTTTCATTTCCTGGCTGTCCTCCTTCAGGCCCACCAAAATAATGAAAGCACTGGCATCAATCGTCGTACCCATCATCACAGCGCTCAGCAACAGTCACAGCAGCAGAAGCAGGAAACACAACAGAAATCAATGAGAATGGAAAATGACAAAAACAAGCAACTGCAGAATGAAGTGCCAATTGTCAATGGTTGCAAGAAGGTCAACGATGGCCAAGGCCTACTACAGACGAAACCACAGGATCAGCCACAAGAGCTCAAACGACAACAAGCAGGGGCTGGGTCCACGAACAATGACATTCCTCACAGTAATCAACAGAATGTCACGCACAACCAACAACGCCAGCCTTTGTTGCCACGACAAGGCTCCACCAATGCAATTGCCAGCAATAATACACACAATTGCTCCAGCAACAACAACAAACAAGTCCAACCGATATTGCCGCGACCAACGGATCCAAGTTGTGTGAATCTGCAACAGCAGGTTTTACTAGATCAAGTATGGAAACAACAACAGCTCATGTCTCTAGGTGCAGTATGGTGCATGAACCAGACTTTTAATGGCCAAGCCTGGCAGCAACAACAGCTACAACAACAGCTACAGCTACAACAACAGCTACAATTCGGCTTCAATAATGGCGGAAGAAACATCCAAAACCAGCAAATTGGCACGGTCAATCTGCAGCTGCAGCAAAAGCAACAACTTGCGCAGCAATCGACTGAGGTGGTTGTCCAACGACTGACAGAGGTGGTGCAGCAACAAAAGCAGACCATTCAAGAGCTTACGGGAAAACTACATTCAAAAGATCAGGGCATGCAAGAGCTCACAGGAAAGATTCATTCACAAGAAAAGATTATCTCGCAACTTCAAGGCGAGGTGCAGCAACTGAGGGAGCATGTCACAGGAAGCACCACACAAGGCGCAACAAGTGTCATGCCTGGATGCACTGCTAAGCAGAACCATCATCTGTTGAACAAGCGGACACAAGCAAATGCCCTGCAAGCGCAACAGCAGCAATACGGCAGTGTTGGTGGGGCCGGAGCCCCCCAAGGTGCAGCCAAGAAGCGCAAGGAATGTAGCGACAGCGAGCCCTGTGTATGCAAACGGCAGCAGTTTGATTGGCAGGCCAAGTGTGCGGTGCAAGGTGCTGAAAAGGGCCAAGCCGACAAACCACCTGCAAAGATGCAGGAATCGTTACTTGACAATGGTGGAATAGTTCAGGCAGCATACCGGTACGAGATGGAAGGAAGAGTTGTCATTTGAGTCAAGAACTCTCTTGTTGGTAGGCATAAAAGATCGGGGGGTATCCTGCTACTGACAGAGTTAGGGGTAGATAGCTATCTATAAGGAATGCCCCCATGTAATAAGCAGCTATTCTCAAAAGTGTTCTCATGCTGGCTGGGGAGTTTCTATTTTTCTGTGGCTAGCTAGAGTCGATGAAAATGAATGCCCAAATCCATTGCTCAGAGCTGCATGCCAGATATACCGGGTAGCAAGCACACCAGCTCCCACTGCTACATGTACTACATGTACATGTAGTCTACCGTGCGGACACACCAATCCGTTCTCCACTGCTATCGGTACACCTAACGATGGAAAATGGAAAATTGGAATCAGAAAATTGAAAATTCGAATTGTGAGGAATCGGCAAAAATTGCATTGGACGAAATTGGATCCTTGATCCCTCCTCCCTCCATTCTGCTCTTTTGGCTTCCAGCCTCATTCAAAGAGCTTTGGAGTTTCTCAACATGCAGCGACTTTGTTCTACTGGAAAGGCAATACCTTTCCTGGTTCCAAGAGCTAGATGTAGTTTTTCAGGGGGAGGTTGTTCAGGGAGTTTTTCTTCAGTGTCTGCGACAGTCAGTTCACCTCTTGCCGCGAAAGATACGGCTTGTCCTCGATTATCCCGAGCTTTTTGCAGTGCAAGTAACACCAGCGATACTGAAGCCCGACAACAACGGCCAGATCCATTTGCACGGAGGCCCACTGCCGTGTGCGATCCCTACGGACAAGGAGGAAAACCCTTACCGATATGGGAAGCCAATGCACTGCTGGCAACCGTTGATACGAGTTGGAGAATGGAATTAGCGGATGACGACGATTCAGATCCCCAGACACTGGTTCGTGAATTTGTACATCCCGATTTCATTGCCGGATCCAAATTTGTGGCCAAACTGGCCGCCGTGGCACAACTGCAAACCCATTATCCATCCATCCAACTGGAGCGGAGAATTCTATCGAAACAAAAAGCTTGGCAAGTTGTGACCAAAGTGACATGTCACACTCTGGTTCTGGGAGGGTTGTCCACCCATGATTTTCACTTGGCCATGGTACGTGAACTGGTGGAAATAGAGGACATTATTAGAATAAAATAGAATGATGTACCGGTGGGCCTGTTGTGTGATTACTAATGATTGTTTTATTGCCTTTTTCTTGGCACTTCCTAAAGCTCATTGATGTGGAAGCGGAACGCCCCGAAGTGAAAGAGCTAATAATCCCTGAACAAGGAAAGGAGGCATGAGTAGTCTAGGGTTCTTGAAAGGTTCAGGAGAGCGGGACCAGGATAAGTATCACGCTACAAGTCCGGTAGATCTAGAGTGGAAGGTAAAAAGTAATTTCTCATGAATGATGCTACGATTGAATCATTTGATTCGATTCCATGCACTCTGTAGTGTCTCGTTTGTCAAGTGCATGCAGGCGAAATCGATCAAGAATCGAAAGTCTGAAGTGAATTGTTGCTATGCTCGGTCTGTTCAGGTACTTAGCGATACTGTCGCTTATCTTTTGCACTGTAGCTACCGGATGGCGTTGATTTGATTCATTCCAAATTCTCTTATACCGTGAAGGACTCTCCTTGCCACAGTCCATGCAAATTGCAAAACAACAATGGTCGTACTTTCGTCCCCTTCGCTACTTTGGCGACCAGGGTAGGAGGAGCCGCGTCAGTGGCCACAAAGTGTTTGGCTTCAATCACCTTGTTCGAATCTTCATCCTTGAGCCACAAATACTCGATGAAATGCGGTTTTTCCGGATCCATAACGTGAGGCACCACGACCTTGACCGATGTACCCTTAACGGTGGTTTGTGGCAAGTGCTTTTCCGGGGCTCCCTTGACGTTGACCAGGTCCTTGTTTTCGTATTCCAATGCTTCCACCTTGCCGGAAAGAGGCATGGCAACGGCGGCTGGGAGGGTACCCACGCCTGCTGCCGCGGTGGCTGCGGCCAGGACGAGTGCGACACGGCGAGAGATTTCTTCTTGGAACAATGGATTGTTGTCATCTTTGGTCGCTAGAAGTTGCGTCTTCTCAGCGGGAGCAGTCGGCATGGGGCAAAATCCAACTGCCAGACTCAAGAAGCCAGAGAGGAACAGGTAGGAAAGGACTTTCTGCATCTTTACAGGACGTGTATCTTATTCACTGATAACAAATGGTACCTCTAGCTCTAGCCAGTAGCAATTAGTTCAATAGGTGTCAATAGATACCGGTACTAGTATCTGTTGCTTGGGCGAGATGATGCGATCACAAAAAATGATGAAAGATCCAGACTTCGAGCACTGACGTCATTGGCATCAAAGCATAAGGCCCTGTTTCAACAACATTTTTGGGATGCGGACATTTGGACTTTGGGAGGCCATTTCCACAAGGCCCAAAACTGACATCACCAAGATCGCCTTCCAACACCAATGCGAAATCCAACCAAAATTGGATTTTGTGACTCCCGCGAATGGCCAAGTGCCAATGGACTTCCAACCAGCTTCCAATGAGAGGCACCAAGAGGTTGATTGTCGTGTAAGCTTGTCGAAAAGGTCCTCTAAAGAATGCAACTACCAGAAGTGACACAAAACAGAAAATGTTTATCAGTATTGCGATAGTGGTCATCTGGCTTCTCCTCTTACCGGTTGCTGCTGGTGGAAGGACCAGCCATCCTTTGGAGGAACCACAGAATTTTGTCACTGCTGCCGCTGCGTTGCTTTCAGTAGCTGATCCCACATCGTTCGATGGTAAGCCCAAAAGAGTCAGGGGAGAACACCGACAGAGGAAGAGGAAGTATGTTAATGACATTTTCAATGAGCTTGGTCCCCATTACGTTCGTCGGGCTTACCGAATGGAACCTGGTTCTTTTTGGAAGCTGGTACGTCTCTTGAGGAGCTACATTGAACCAAAGAAGAAAGATAATGAGAAGAAGAGGAGGCGGGGAGCCAGGAATGGTCTGATTCCTTTGCCCAGCCGTGTCAGTGCTGCAATCCGGTACTTCGCTGGTGGTTCTGCGTATGACATTGCCTGTGTACATGGTTTTGGGCATACAGAAGTGTTCCGGTCAGTCTGGAGAGTGGTCGATGCTGTTAACAAGTGCCCCGAACTTGACTTTTCTTACCCTTCCAGTCATGAAGAACAACAGAAGATTGCCGACGGCTTCCACAAATACAGTCGCGGAGTCTTCCATTCCTGCGCTGGAGCAATCGATGGGATGCTGGTTTGGACCGAACGACCCAGCAAAGAGAGTTGTGACATCGCAGAGTGTGGTCCCAAGAAATTCTTTTGTGGACGGAAGAAGAAGTTTGGTCTCAACATGCAAGCAACATGCGACAATCACCGCCGCTTCCTTGATCTTTATATTGGACACCCAGCATCCACTTCAGATTATCTTGCATGGACATCCTCCCCACTGTACCACATGATGGAACGCGAAGGATTCATGAAAGAGGGACTCTGCTTGTTTGGGGACAATGCTTATGTCAACACCACGTACATGGCAACTCCATATAAAGCCGTTGGATCAGGACCAAAGGATGCATACAACTACTACCATTCGAACGTTCGAATCACCATCGAGTGTGCTTTTGGCATGCTGGTGCGCCGCTGGGGTATCTTGCTTCGCCCATTCCCAACTGCCATTTCCATCGCCAAAGTCTCAGCCATAGTGCGCTGCTTGTGCCGCTTGCACAATTTCTGCATAAATGAGCGATTGGCGAGAATGGAGAATGAGACAACAAATTCGCCAGAGGAGGAGACTGCGCAGGACATGGCAGAGAGACTTACCAGCGACGAGATGAACATTGTCTTTGAGGGAGGCGGGTTGAACATTGGGAGCACTGGAGATAACTACAGACCGGAAGGATTGCTCCATGGTGGAGACCATTTCGATGATGTGACTAACTACTGGACAAGAGTGTCGCGAAAAGTCGTTGGTTCGCCACTCCCAAGGGAATGTATGTGTGAAATCGTGCGCTCTAAAGGATTGAAAAGGCAAACTCCCCGGAATTGGCAGGGAAAGACACCTGCCCGCTCCTATTCAGCTTAGTGCATCTAAATTTAACATATAGTATCACATGTTTTAGGATATCAATGTGCTGTAGTTAGCATTGGCCGTGCCATCGCAAGAATCATCCTCAACTGATCGCCAATTTCGTGATAAGAGAAAACCGCTCACATGCACTCTCTCCGTGGGATTGAATTGGGCGATGGCACCTAGCTTTCTGTTGCCGCCACCTATATCTTCAAGTCTGTTTCTTAAGTCTGCTACTATCTGTCTTAATCTGTTACCGGAGGCGCTACGTTTCAAACAATCGCGAACACAAATCGAAAAAGCAAAGCAGCCACACACATGCGGCTTCTGCTCTATTGTCCTAAGAAAATGGCAGCCACCATGAGCTTAATCTTCCTCATCACCATCATCACTGTCATCATCACTGTCGATGTAGATGCTCTTCTTCTTGTTGGATTTCTTCTTCTTCTTGGGTGGTTCTTTATCCATTTCATCGATCGTCTCCTGGCAAATGTCAATCTGCCCAGCCAACACTTTGACACGCTTCGAGTAAATGTCAATCATTTTGCTGCTGGAGGCTTCGAGGAGTTTGATCTGGTAATCCATTTCCTTATCTTGAAGTTCACGAAGTTCCTTGAAGAGAGCAGCACGGGACATACTGGTCATGGCAAGTCCCATCTTCGCTCGAAAGAAAGCCAGTTCTCTATCTTCCTTGCGGCGCTTCCTTGCCGAAGCAGATGCATCCGACCCTGCAACAGAAGCACAGCTTGTTGATGTGGCACTAGAACTCTCTGCGATCACAGCCATCACATGCTTGAGTACCTCCTCCTGATCAGCGATGTGCCAAAGGTAGAGAATGTGTTCCTTGGTTTGAGAGTCGAGAAAGTTGGCTCTGTTGTCACCACACTGGAGTTCGTCTTCGCCAAGGTGGCCAAACTCATCATCTCCTTCATGTCTCTGGCCAAATCCGTTTCCACTGAGCTCCCACTTGGCAATGATCTTGATCAACTTTGCACGGCAGTCACCCCAGCGCCTTTGGACATCTTCAGGAGTAATCGGCGATGGTACATGGTCGTTGTTAAGGGAACACTCCAAGACATCTGAGAACGTGGAATGAAGGTCCGGCAAGCATCGAGAGAGAACAAGGTGAGATTCGTCGTTGTACAACCTAGCAGCTGCTTCATAGATTGTCTCGGGCCTGTCTTCTGAGTTGCGAGCATCTAACTCATCCCTTTCTGCAACGTTGTACATGGCCAGAAACTTCTCGCGATTGGTCTCATCCAGCATGCACTCAATTAAGCGTATGTATGGCTCTGGGTGATTCCACGGGGAAGCCTTTTCTTTCTTGTCTTCCTTCTCGTTTGCCGCTTTGACCAGCAAGTCATACAGCTTCTTTTCTTCCATCAGGATGTATGCCCTATCTCCAGTATGGGAAACTGGATTCTTCTGCAACCACTCGACACACTTCTTTCTGTTCCAGTAAGTACATGTTGGCTGCTTCAGGGCGTCAACCTTGCAACGACGCTTGATTTCCTCAACAAGATTCCGCTGTGTGGCAACTACCTTCTTCCTAAATTTCATTGATGCGTATGGTTCAACATCAGTATTGCCTACCTCACGTCCGTCACCTGTTTTCAGACCAATTCCCATGGCCATCAAGTCGATTGCTTTGTCACCGTTGCTCTTGTGGTAGCGTTCAGATGGTCCACCGTTGACACTCTCCTGGGGAACATCTGCTAACTCATCTTGGAGGTAAGGAGAATCAGCAAGGCGAACGTGAGTGGGTGTTGTATTGTCGGTCATGGTTGTTTCTTTCCTTGTTTCTTTCGATGTTGTCTCAACAAATGAGCTCTCTCCTTCTGCTTCTACTTCCAGTTTTCTGGCCTTCCGAAAACGCTTGTCGACATCTTTCACTTACTGAACCTGGCAAGGAGTCTTGTAGGCTGAAGACCATAGCGATACTGCATGACAATGCGAGGCATCATTGAAATAGTAAGCTATTGACGCAATGACAACATTGACATTGCAATTTTTCATCAACGTCTAACATCTTTTTCTTGTTTCTTCCTTTCCAGAATGTTCCCAAACATGATCCATATTGTGGACTGAACGCACCAATCAACCTGCGAATTGAGTACCAGATCCAATTTTGGAGTAGCGGAAACCACGGCCCAGGCGGTTTCCTCAACTCCAAAATTGGAGGTAGCGGAAAAGCCTCATTTTGGGAGCATTCTGGCCACGTATGCAGCAATGAGGCCCTAAAGTCCCAAAGTCCGAAGCCCAAAACAGTTGTTGAAACAGGGCCTAAAGATCGCATCGAAGAATCAACCAATCTTCGAGACTTCATTCTCTGATTTACAGACATACATTGCCTGCAGCGGAATGTCATCACACAATAGAGTCCCCAGTCCAGGCGGCTCCGTCCATACTTAGAATACCAGTATTACTAGCTAGCTCTGCGAAATTCGTGCCGAGCAAGTCTAGAGCGTCCAGCCAGAGGGCGAGATTTTGCTTCAGGCCGCACTCCGATGGGTGGGCCTCGTTTCAGGAAGGAACGATCCATACAGTTTCGGACAGTTTCGGGTACCGGTATGTACCAGAATTTGAAAAGTAGTTGCGTACCCGTATTCATCGTGTGTCTCGGCCTAAAGGATGGCAATGTCCTACGGATACGGTACTACGTTTCTGCAACAGTGGTTGCACAGTACTTTTACGGTACTACATGGTAGCCATGCCTTATAGTGAGTCTGTTACATGAGTACTTATTGTGTTTTCGTTTTCGTGGACTTGTGCTTTTCGAACGGATTTCGAGGACTTCTGCTTTTCGAACGTACGTACTAGTACGCTAGCTAGCTACTAGTAGCCAGCGATTTCGTGGATTCGTGGACTTGTGCTTTTTCGGAGAGGTGGTATCTGTGGATGTACTGGTGCCGATTTACGACACCAGAACGAAAACGAAATGATTGTACTGTAGTAGAAACTTGAACGTATTGCCATCTCTCGTACAGCACCCGTCGGCGTTCCTTCGTCTTGATGCAGTGGTGTTGCTGTGAACTGTTCCTCGCCCTGCGGGAAGACAGTGCGACATGGTGCTCGCTGCATTGGCATCATATTTGTTGGTCGGCAATGCAGCTCGATTTCAGCCCTTCAGGACCGATCTATAGGTACAGTTTCTGGCAGCGGTATGTACCCGTATCCATCGTGTGTCTCGGCCTAAAGGATGACAATGTCCTAGGGATACCAACATCGTAGCATCCATGGCAATCTTCAATCCCAACAATCTTGATGGCCATTTTGCTGCTCCTTCCGCTGCTGGCTCAAGGCATGCTTGTCCAAAAAGCCTTGATAGTTCAAGCCACAAAAGGGTTGGTAGCATTGGGGGGCAGTATTGCTGGGTGGAACCAATCGACAAGGCAGTCGTTCTACCCATGCTTGAATACGATCAAATTTGGAAGACACCATGACCACTCCCAGTTCTACGTTCTTGGGCATTGCATCTCCCAATCCCCATGCAGCTCGGCTGAAGTTGTGCGACCCTACATAGAGAACTCCTTCGGTGTTGAACAGGAACTTTCCATGGGTGGTGGGGGCAAGTGCTAGATGTTGTTCGTGCGTCGAAAGACCATGCTTGTACAGTTTGCTATTGGGAGGATTGGGCGAGGCATTGCCAAAGATTTTGGTTCGACTTTGAACGGGAATGTTCTTGTTCCAATGATACGCCGGCAAAGGACGAATGCAACGCAACCCGGTCAGATCCGATTGTGCCGCCAATTCCACAGACGGCCACAGGCACTTGACACGATCATCCACTTGCTCCCATGTGGCCGTGTCTTCGGAAAAGCTTTGAATGCCTTGCATGGCTTGATGCATTTGCCACAAAAAGCCTGGTTTCAGATTCCCCATGGAGCCCGACGTGGCATAGAGAATGGCATTCTTGCATGT